CTTCTAAATTAATTGTTTTAGAGATGCATTCATGTCATTCATCAGAGAAAAATGGAGGAAAAATCTCAAGTTACCAGCAATCATATTTCGGGTCAGCATGAACATGATATTTGTGTTATGGAAAATCAACAGCGAGTTCCTGGTCAGGATGTTCTATATCTGAATATAGCATTAATGCTTAATAGTGTGTGCTTCAGAAACCCTTGTAATTATTCATGATACGGATCCCCATGATCAAAATACAACACATGCACTGTATGTGCATATGCTTAAATTCTTAAAATGTAGCCATCCATAAAACACCTTTAATTCATCACAGTGCTAGAAGTGATGTGCACACAGGTGCACTGCTCTGCTTTCAAATAAGGAAAAACAATTGAGCTTCAACCACAGGAAGATTAGCATATACTTTACTTGCAGGTTCTGTGTCTGGTTATTGATTGCTTTACAAGCAAGTTAGCATTCCCCACTCACCAAGCCAAGCGTATGCCTGATCTGCAGGTTCTCTGTCTTGTTCTTGATGGCTTCAACAAGGCTAGCATACCCCACTCACCATGCCATAACACTGCTTTGATGTTTTAATCTTGAAGCGCACCACAAGTCCAAATCTGTCTGATTCTACATCTACAAATCAGGTGCATTGTCCTTAATTTTTTATACTTCCTAGTTCTCTTGTCAATGCAGATAACGGCGCCCATTTTGCGCTGTTCGTAGGACATGGCTGAGAATTTGAACTTGTCACCAAATCTGAACTGAATTATCTTCAGTATCCATGGCCTCGATCTTAATTAAGCGTCATCCAAAGCGGTGACATCTTGAGCTGCTTAGCTTCGATTGCCAGCATTAGCAAAGTACATTTTTTTATCTGATGTTGCTTCCACCGACGAGACAAGATGTGAGGTGTGGTATTGCCTATATGTTCCAGTTGTATCTTTTGAGGTTGGCAACACATGGACTGTATGTTCATATGCTTAAGTTCTTAAAATGTTGCCATCCATTACATCATTTCTGAGGTTTCAGAATTTCTAAATCTTCTCCCAGAGGTTAATACCTTGGTAAAAACATAACAAAAAGAGAGCCCATAGGGAAGGTCCAACAGCAGAATACTGAAGTAGGAATCCTTGGCTGCACATCCCTAATGCATGCCATAAAGTACCCTAGTAGATACATTGCTTTTTTAGATTCTCTGCAATCACAAGAAGACTAGCAACAACTTGATTACAAGCCTAACATCAACTTGACTTGACTTGCAGGTTCTCTGGCTTCAACAACGAGACTAGCATTACCCACTCACCAAGCCATGACAGACGACACAAGTAGGTTCCCATAGGTCAGAATCTAGCCGGATCTACACTGATTACAATCCAGGTGCGTTGCCCTTAATTTCGTTTGTTACTGGCTCTCTTGTTAATATCCTAACTAGGTTGATGCAAAAATTGAGCAGTTTTCCTGGCCAGGTTGTTCTCTAGTTTTGCTGGGTAAAAGGAACAAGGAGGAAGATCAGATCTAGCTACTTGTCATCAGCAACAAGCTTGCACACTCTCTGATCATGCCAATGACTCCATGACAGTTCAAAATCTCTATAATCAGGTTACAATGACAACAAGACCAGCTGAGCCATGAGGTCTCTTCTTTTTCTTTTTACGAGAAGATTGTTCTGGTGGTTTCAGATTCGAAAGTGCACAAGGAGGTTACCAAGATCGATCAGATCTAAGCCATAACAAGGCAGGTGCATCATCCTTCACTACTTTCCTTGCTATCTTAGGTTGCACTCAGAGCAAAGTTCTTATGCCAATATATTAGCAAATCTCATATGCTCTCGTGGCAAATTCTACCCTCATAAAATGAACATTCTTGCTGTGTGAGGATTTCCTGAAGTGAAAATTGATGGCTCCTTTTAATTGGAGTGACTGTAATCATGGGAGTACATATTGATTTGCCTAATGACATCTATGACACTATAGTTTTGCTCTATTATTCATTTCTTGATTGCGCTACAACTTTCTTTCTTGTATCTTAATCGACAACTTTATCTATTAGTCTCTCCATATATCTGGGGATGTTAATTACATAGATAGCAAGGAAATATTGAACTAAGTTGGAAGTAGAATATGCATATTGGCAAGCCGGCAGGTATGCCAGATTGGTTTCCTCTTTGACTTGGTTCAGATTTCAACATTTGGGGTGTTTAACCTAATATATCCCTATAGGGAAGAGTAACATACATGAGCAGTTATTTGGTGAAGTGTCACTAGTTCTTGTTGCTAGTTAATAACATTCTGTTTGCCATAGTTGAATATAGCACAGTTTCAAGTGTTTTAAAATTCATGGGCATGCCTGTCAAAAGAGCTAACTTGTTTGGCTATCTCCGTTAGAATTAGATAACATAAAAATATGAATTAAGACTTTAGTAGTATTTCTTGGGAAAGTTCTACTTATATTACTTCTCCATTGTGGTTGGAGAGTTTTTAAGTTTTATGGCAACTGTTTGGTGAGTTTTGAAGTGTTTTTGCAGGTGCTTCGTAGTTGGTAGTAGTAGAATTTCACTATTTTTTTATAATTAACGTATCACTTCATTTTACAGTGGTCATTCTGATCATACAGAGGAGAATATACAACTAGGCCACCACCTAACACCGAGACATTAGCAATTCTCAAAGTAATGGCAGAGATTGTGATTCTTCTAGCCATTAGAAAGATTGGAATTGCCTTGGCAAAGGCAGCGGCAGATCAGGCCAGCGTACAGTTTGGAAAGTATGGCACACAACTACTAGAACTACAGGGCAGTATGGGCCGTGTTGGTAGGGAGCTTCGCGTAATGCATGATGTTCTGTGTCAGATGAACATTCGTAGTCGCAACAATCAAGTACATGAGGGCTGGTTGGAGGAGGTACAGAAAGTAGCATATGTGATGGAGGACATGGTGGATGAGTACTTGTATCTTGTTGGTCGGGAACATGATATTGGTTGTTGTTTTTTTCTGAAGAAGGGTTTCAAGAAGCCAAGATCTCTGCTTTCTTTGAGCAAGATAGCTTTCAAGGTGAAGGAAATAGAGAAAGACCTTTCACACTTGCCAGATACAAAAAACCGTTGGGTTCCCACAATAAACAACGGGGATGCAAGCAACTCAAATTACATTGTGAAGAGATCCCAAGATCTAGCAAACAATTTCACGCTCCCTTGATGAAGAGGATCTAGTGGGCGTGGATGAAAACAGAGAAGAACTCCAGCAATGGTTGGCAGGTGATGATCTGGAATGCTCTGTTATAAGTCTGCTTGGAATGGGAGGTCTTGGTAAAACTGCTTTAGCTGCAAATGTCTACAAGAAAGAGAGGGAAAAATTCCAGTGCTACGCCTGGGTCTCCATTTCTCAGATTTATTCTAGAGAAGATGTCTTGAGAAATATGATCAAAGAACTTTTTAAGGATAATGCCAGTGTTCTGTCTAGCACTCTGGCTATGAACATCATGAGCCTTGAAGAGACACTAAAGAAATATCTGGAGCAAAGGAAATACTTTATCATATTGGATGATGTTTGGGATCCGGAAGCATTTCATGATTTGTCAAGGATGTTTATTCATAATGGTAAGGGCAGTAGAGTGATGCTCACAACAAGGGAAGCCCGCGTTGCCGCACTTGCCTCTCCAGGACGTATCTTAACACTGGAGGCTTTACCAGAAGACAAGGCATGGGATCTCTTTTGTAAGAAAGCCTTTCCAAGAGATACAAATCATGAATGTCCTACAGAATTGAAGCCATCGTCCAAGGAAATAGTTAGCAAGTGCAAAGGCCTGCCTCTTGCTATTGTGTCAGTTGGTAGCCTCTTGAGTCCGCGTGAGAAAACCGTGGAAGAATGGAGAAGAATAAATGATCAACTGAGTTGGGAGATAATTAAAAATTCAAGGCTGGACCACATAAGGAATGTTTTGCATCTGAGCTTCATCTACCTCCCAACATACTTGAAAAGTTGTTTCCTGTACTGCAGCTTATTTCCAGAAGACTACCATTTCAGAAGGAAACAACTTATACGGTTGTGGACAGCAGAGGGGTTCATCGAGGAGAGGGGTGAAAGCACACTAGAAGAAGTGGCAGAAGGCTATCTAAAAGAGTTGGTTGACAGAAACATGCTACAACTTGTTGAGAGGAACTCATTTGGTAGGATGAAGATATTCAGAATGCACGATCTCGTACGTGAACTGGCAGTTGATTTGTGCAAGAAGAACTGTTTTGGTGTTAGTTATGAGGATCAGTGTGGGGGGTCTCTTGAGATGGATGGACGTCGGTTGGTGCTTCACAAACTAAAGAAGGATATTCAGCAGCCATTTTCCAATATGCACCAACTTCATACTGTCATTACACTGGGCGATAGCAAGTCATCATTCACTTTACTGCCTCTGCTTTGCACGGAGTCAAGATATATGACAGTGTTAGAATTAAGTGGGCTACCTATCGAGGAGATTCCAGATGCTATTGGAGATCTTTTTAATCTCCGTCATTTGGGTTTGCGTAAGTCAAAAGTGAAGAAGCTCCCGAAGTCTGTTCAGAAGCTTTCAAATTTGTTGACACTGGACCTTGATGGATCTGACATACATGAGCTGCCAAGTGGGATTGTGAAATTGAAGAAGCTTAGGCACTTATTTGCTCAGAAAACAATTGATACATATTGGAGAGAGCTTGCAAGTTGCAGTGGTGTGCATATCCCCAATGGACTTTTTTTTTTGAAAAGGGGGGATTCCCCGGCCTCTGCATCAGAAAGATGCATACGACCATCTTATTGACCAAATAAAGTAGTGCCAACATGGTTCCAAAGGTCTCCAAAAGTAATAAAAAAGCACAGAAAGCTCACACAGAGCCAATAAGGGCTAGAAACACCAACTAGCCAAGAAAAGACGCCACAACCGGCTGGCTAATTTCAGACGCTACAAGCATTGGAATTACAAGATGAGTCTGTTAGAAATTTAGGGGAGCTAACACAAGTGAGAAGCTTGAGGTTATTGAATATGAAGGGAATCTACTGTAGAAGTATCAGCGAATCTCTAGTTCAGATGCAGTATTTGTCCCATCTAGATGTGAATGCAAGTGACGAGGACGAGGTTCTCTTGTTGAATGTCTGTATGCCAAGCCTGCAAAGGCTAGTTTTGAGAGGAAGGCTAGCGGAAGGGGCATTGGATGAGTCTCCTCTCCTCCAAGCTGTTGGGGGGCAGAACTTGTATGCATTGTCTCTATACTGGTCACAGCTGAGAGAAGACCCCCTGTCTTCCCTTTCTCGGCTGTCAAACTTGACGCGTCTACAGTTCACCAGAGCATACAACGGAGAGAAGCTGTCATTTCTCACGGGGTGGTTTCCCAAACTAAAGGTTCTCGCTCTAAGAGACCTGCCTAATCTGAATCGGCTGGTGATACAGGAAGGCGCCATGGCGAGCCTGGAGGAAGTATTCTTAACCAACCTCAGCAGCATGACGGAGGTCCCACGTGGCATTGAGTTCCTCCTGCCCCTCCAATATCTAAGCTTCCTGGAAATCACCAATGACTTCTTGACGGCGCTGTACCAATGTTCTGTACTTGAAGCGCAGATGTGGCACTATTCTCTCCGAGACTGACCTGACACACTGGCCGGGAAATGTGTAGGTACGGAAGCTACTGCACTAATCTGCCAACTAGCCAGTACCACTACTTCCTCCCTCATCTCTAATCTCACTAGTTTTAAGATGTTGATGGTGATATGCTGTTGGTTATGCAGGTCGCGGGCCGGAAGGGGGATGCTTCCTTGTTTGGGCCACATGCGTATTCGATTCAGTGAGTGAAGGGGGTCAAAACATCTGAAGGTGCATTAGTATATTCGTGTTGCTGCTGCTGATATACCACCTGCGTCTCCTCTGCTACTGCTACTGCTGCGGCCGTGTGCTTTTATATAGGACGATGCTTACTGTATGACTGCAACTGCAAGCGTGCAGTATTTCCGTATACAGACTTATTTTTCAGATATATTATTAACATGTTTTTAAAATACTTTTTTTGACATCTAATTTTTCAATAGACATTGTACATTTTTCATATACATCTGAAACATTATTGATAAACACATCTAACATTTTTTGAAATACAAGATTTTTTTTGAATAACTATTTTTATGTATATTTTTCATACACATTGTACATTTTTCATATATATTTTAGACATTATTTTCATGCATGTTAGATATTTTTCAACTACATGTTGTACATTTTTTTTCTTAAATACATGTTTTGATGTCCACTTCTTTTCACATACTATATATTTTTCGTATAAATCTGAAACATTACTTCTATATAAGTTTGAAATTTTTTCAAATACGTTAATATTTTTCATATACATCCGAAACATTAACTTTCTACACATTTAACAATTTTTAAATACATGATTTATTTTTGAAATACTATATTAATGAGTACTTTTGTCACACACATTGTACATTTTTCGTATACACTTTGAAACATTATTTTAATGCATGGTTTTATTTTTCAAACACATATTTTTCAAAATACATGTTTTGATGTCTACTTCTTTTCATACACATTTTATATTTTTATATACATTTGGAATATTATTTTTCTACATGTTTAACATTTTTCAGAAATATGAATGACATTTTTTCAAATACATTTTTTGATGTCTACTTTTATTCAATAGACATTTTACATTTGCATATATGTGTGAAACATTATTTTTATACACATTTATAATTCTTCGTAATCATGATTTATTAAAAACTATTTTTGATGTGTACTTTTTCATACACATTTTATTTTTGTATACGTCTAAAACTTTATTTCTATGCACATTTAGCATCTTCAACTATGTGTATTTGAATTATTGTTTTGAATACGCATTAAGAATTTTTTGAAATATACAGTGAAACATTTTTTTAATGATATGGAAAAAATTAAAGAAGTCATGAAAATCTTAAATTAAATTAATATTTGATTAAAGAAGTCATTTAGTATGGAACTAAGTTACCCATAACTTTCACATTAGCTAACTCTGTGAAAGTGAAATATTTATTTCAACAATCTGGCAGGTATGCCAGATTGGTTCCCTCTTTGTCTTGGTTCAAATTTCAAAGTTTGGTGCATTTTAACCTGAGTTGTTCCTATACGGAAGCGTTGACTTTGGGGCATTTTAACCTGAGATGTTCCTATACGGAAGCATGGCTAGTTATTTGGTCGAGTGTTACTCTTGTCAGATAATAACATCAAATTTGCAGCGGTTGACTATATCACTGTCCCAAGTGTTCTTAAATTCTCATGGACCTGCCTGTCGTAGAACTGTTTTGTGGGATCATGTGGTTAACAACATGAAATAAGAGTTTAGGAGGGTTACTTTAGCGGGTTCTGCTTACTCTTTTCCATTATGGTTGGAGAGTTTTGAAGTGTTTTGGCAAGTGCTTACTACTACTAGAATGCACTAGCAGATTAATTGATACATCACTTACTTCATTTTGCAGTGAACTTTCTGATGATACTGAGCAAAGTATACAACTAGGACGCCACCAACCAACGAGGCATTAGCAAACCTCAGAAAGTAATGGCGGAGATTGTGATCCTTCTAGCCATTAAAAAGATTGGAATTGCCTTGGCAAAAGGAGCGACAGACCAGGCCAGTGTGCAGTTTGCGAAGTACGGGGCACAACTACTGGAGCTACAGGGTAGCATGGGCCGCGTCGCCAGGGAGCTTCGGGTAATGCATGATGTTCTTTGTAAAATGGACATTCGAAACCGCAGCAATCTAGTATATGAGGGCTGGTTAGAGGAGGTACGCAAAGTAGCACATGTGATGGAGGACGTGGTGGATGAGTACTTGTATCTAGTTGGTCGAGAACATGATATAGGTTGTTGTTTTTTCCTGAAGAAAGGGTTCAAAAAGCCAAGATCACTGCTTTGTTTGAATCAGATAGCTTTCAAGGTGAAGGACATAGAGAAAGACCTTTCACACCTATCAAAGACAAAAAACCGTTGGGTTCCCATGATAAACAACGAGGATTCTAGCAACCTCAGTTACATTGTCAAGAGATCCCAAGAGCTAGCAAACATTTTACGCTCCCTTGATGAAGAAGATCTAGTGGGGGTGGATAAAAACAGAGAACAGCTCGAGCAGTGGTTGGCGGGTGATGATCAGGAATGCTCTGTGATAGCTCTGCTCGGAATGGGAGGTCTTGGTAAAACTGCTTTAGCTGCAAATGTCTACAGGAAGGAGAGGGAGAAATTCCAGTGCTATGCCTGGGTCTCCATCTCTCAAACTTATTCTAGAGAAGATGTCTTGAGAAATATGATCAAACAACTTTTTAAAGATACTGCCAGTGTTCTATCTAGCACTCTGGCTATGGACATCATGAGCCTTGAAGAGACACTAAAGAAATATCTGGACCAAAGGAAGTACTTTATCATATTCGATGATGTTTGGGATCTGGAAACATTTCATGATTTGTCAAGGATGTTTATTCATAGTGATAATGGCAGTAGAGTGATGCTCACAACAAGGGAAGCCCGCGTTGCCGCACTTGCCTCTCGAGGACATATCTAACACTGGAAGCTTTACCAGAAGACAAGGCATGGGACCTCTTTTGTAAGAAAGCCTTTCCAAGAGATACAAATCATGAATGTCCTGCAGAATTGAAGCCATCATCCAAGGAAATAGTTAGCAAGTGCAAAGGCTTGCCTCTTGCTATTGTGTCAGTTGGTAGCCTCTTGAGTCCGCGTGAGAAAACCGTGGAAGAATGGAGAAGAATAAATGATCAACTAAGCTGGGAGATAATTAACAATTCAAGTCTGGACCACATAAGGAATGTTTTGCATCTGAGCTTCATCTACCTCCCAACATACTTAAAAAGTTGTTTCCTATACTGTAGCTTATTTCCAGAAGACTACCATTTCAGAAGGAAACAACTTATACGGTTGTGGACAACAGAGGGGTTCATCGAGGAGAGGGGTGAAAGCACACTAGAAGAAGTGGCAGAAGGCTATCTAAAAGAGTTGGTTGACAGAAACATGCTACAACTTGTTGAGAGGAACTCATTTGGTAGGATGAAGATATTCAGAATGCACGATCTCATACGTGAACTGGCAGTTGATTTGTGCAAGAAGAACTGTTTTGGTGTTAGTTATGAGGATCAGTGTGGGGGGTCTCTTGAGATGGATGGACGTCGGTTGGTGCTTCACAAACTAGAGAAGGATATTGAGCAGCCATTTTCCAATATGCACCAACTTCGGACTGTCATTACACTTGGCGATAGCAAGTCATCATGCACCTTACTACCTCTGCTATGCACGACGTCAAGATATATGACAGTGCTACAATTAAGTGGTCTACCCATGGAGAAGATTCCAGATGCTATTGGGGATCTTTTTAATCTCTGCCATTTGGGTTTGCGGGGTTCAAAGGTGAAGATGCTCCCGAATACTATTGAGAAACCTTTCAAATTTGTTGACACTCGACCTTTATCAGTCTGATATACATAAGCTGCCTAGTGGGATTGTGAAACTGAAGAAGCTTAGGCACTTATTTGCTCAAAAAACAATTGATACAGTTTGGAGAGAGCTTGCATGTTGTAGTGGTGTGCATATCTGCAATGGACTTGGAAATCTAACAAACTTACAGATGCTGAAAGCATTGGAAGTACATGATGAGTCTCTTAGACATTTAGGGGAGCTCAGGCAACTGAGAAGCTTGAGGTTATGTAATGTGAAAGGTTATGTAGGGGAGTTCAGATGCGGTATTTATCCAGCCTAGGTGTGAATGCAAGTGATGTGGATGAGGTTCTCTTATTGAATGTCTCCCTGCCAAATCTGCAAAAGCTATGTTTGGGTGGACGACTAGCGGAAGAGGCGTTGGACGAGTCTCCTTTGTTCCAAGCTGTTGGCGGCCAGAACCTGTATGAGTTGGTTCTATTATGGTCACAGCTGAGAGAAGCCCCCCTGCCATCCCTTTCTCGCTTGTCAAACTTGACTTATCTACAATTCACCAGAGCATACAGTGGAGAGCAGCTGGCATTTCTCACGGGGTGGTTTCCCAAGCTAAAGATTCTCTCCCTAAGAGATCTGCCTAATCTGAATCGGCTAGTGATACAGCAAGGTGCCATGGCGAGCCTGGAAAATTTATTCTTAACCAACCTCAGCAGCATGACGGAGGTCCCACATGGCATTGAGTTCCTCCTGCCCCTCCAATATCTAAGCTTCCTGGAAATCACCAATGACTTCTTGACGGCGCTGTACCAATGTTCTGTACTTGAAGAGCAGATGTGGCACTATTCTCTCCGAGACTGACCTGCGACACTGGCCAGGAAATGTGTAGGTACGCACTAATCTCCCAACTAGCCAGTACCACTACTTACTCCCTCATCTCTAATCTTACTACTGTACTTTAAAATGTTGACAGTGATATGGTGTTGGTCATGCAGGTTGCCGGCCGGAAGGGAGATGCTTCATTGTTTGGGCCGCATGCGTATTCGATTCAGTGTGTGATGGGGGTGAATGCATCTGAAGGTGCATTATATTCCTGTTGCTGCTGCTGATATACAACTATACCTCCGTCAACCTGCGTCTCCTCTGCTTTTATGGGACGTGCTGCGGCCTCGTGCTTTTATTAAATAAAAACGATGCTTGTTGTATGACTGCGAGCGAGCTATATTTCCATATTCAGACTTATTTTTGTGTTGTTTGTTTTACGAATTAAGGAGCTCTCCGCTCCAGATTTTATTTCAGAAACTGATCGACGCATGATTTGTTTCAGCTATATATGTACCGATATTTCGTGAGTGTGCTTGCTCTGAACCCATTTCAGCTGTGGCTGTTGAATAAAAACACTTGGTTTGCGATTCATAATTCTGGCTCAGGTATGCATTTTCGTCGTCCCGCGGTTCACTACCAGAAATTATCTAGTTGCCGACGGCTTCATCTATGCCGACGGCGCCCGTCGGCATAAATGGACATATGCCGACGGCCAAGGACCGGCCGTAGGCGTAGAATAGCCGTCGGCATATGTGTATCTATGCCGATGGGGGCCGTCGGCATATTACGGCCGTCGGGACAGCTCGCCGTACGCCTACGTGGACCGTCGGCATAGAAGAGGCCGTCGGCATAGAAAGGGCCCACCTACCCGATTAGCGGCGACCGTTTGACGGCGTCAAAACTACGCCGACGGGGGATAACGGCGGCCGTCGGCATAGAATTGCTAACATCACCGATCCGCGTCGTCGACACGTCATCGATCCGAGGGAGTGAGGGCCTGTGGTGTGGCAGAGATATGCCGACGTCATCAATCCGCGTGCAATGCCATGTCATCGATCCGTGGGATCGTAGCTCCGTGTGCGCAGCTATGCCGACGGCTTTGCCGTCGGCATACCTTTATTTTTTTATTTTTAGTTTATATATTTATTATTTTGTATTTTTTCACAACATAAATGTGCCTTATCTAAACAAAAAACATGCCTCGATGGTATATCGATTGCCCCCCTCACGGACGTCACTGCCGCCGTGTCACGGAGGGGGGAAACGATCGACATGGAGGGAATCTGGTTAGAGGGGGGATTCGGGGTGGCCTTCGGGGTGTAGCTATGCTACTGAAACATCGCATGGGTCCCGATGCATGTGTGAAAGTGTTCTGGCATGCGTAGACGCCCGTCTTGGGGCTCCATGGTGTGGCCCCCTCCACGGAAGGTAGAGCCGCCGTCACTTGGAGGGGGTAAGGTGCGGGTGCGGTGGAACCGGAGGGAATCTAGTGTTGGGTTGGGTCCAAAGCGTGTTCGGGGATGTTGCTATGGGCTGACCTATCGCAACCAGGCGGAAGAGTCCACCGGTCAAAGCCCGCCCGGCGAAAGTCAACGGGCTAGATCTACTCGTCAACTAGGATTCGGGGTGGCCTTCGGGGTGTAGCTATGCCACCGAAACATTGCACGGGTCCTGATGCATGTGTGAAAGTGTTCTGGCATGCCACGCGGACCATGAGACCCATGCCAAGGCCATGATCACTACTTTCTGGGTGAGTTCTCTTCAGAAGCACAAGTCCATTCTAGTTTCATGAATGATTTAACTCATGGCTTCTTCCATTCTTGTTTCAGGCATGATTGTAGACATTCTATCGAGTTCTTCCGGAGCACAGGGCTAGAGCGGACCAGATCGTGCTGCGCCAATGCAAGAAGAAGGCCCGCCAGATGCAGTACGAGGTGCGCTATGTGGCCATCTCCACATACTACCACGACTATCTTGGTGTGAAGATGACCAAGGAAGAAGCGCGGAGGATGGGCATTACCTTGGAGAGGCCCGAGTTCTTGGCGGTAAGTATAAAAGATTTTTCATTATGCTTTCATATATTATGCTTTCATTATGCTTTCATTACCTTGTGGTACATTATGCTTTATGCTTTATGCTTCCATAACATCAATTTGGACACACCTACCAATTTGGACACACCTACATGCCATTATGCTTTTATTATGTAGGTGTGTCCAAATTGGTGTTATGGAAAAGACGAGTCCTGGGCGGCATTGGTGGATCTTTGGTGTGATGAGGCTGGAGCCTGGGCGGCTATGAGAACCAAAAATAAGGCTAACCGAGGGATGGAGGGAGTACATGCTCACGGAAACCGAAACCACTATCTCCACAAGGCAGTTAATGTATGACTAACCCCATTAAACATTCTTCTTCTTCTATTTACCATCACTTTCTTACGTATGACTAACCTCTGTTTGGTGGTGCAGGAGGAGAAACTGAAGCGACCGCTCTCAGACATGCAGGCGTGGGAGATCGCCCATACGTGGAAGGACTCCAAGCCTGGCGAGCCCCAGTACTACGGCAAGAAGACCGCGGGGAGGAAGCAAGCCTACTCTGAAGCGTATCTAAAGTTGCATCCTGACACACCTGACCCCATTGCGGCGCCTCTGGACGACAGGGCGGTGGTGAGCATGGGGCCCAAGGAGCATGGTCGGGAGGTGGTTCTCGATGCTGTGATCACTCCTAGTATCTCCTACACACAGCTTCGTCGGATCGACCCGAGCCTGAGCCAGCGCACGAGCCAGCCAGTGACCAGTACATAGTCCCTCTTTCAGGAGCAACAATCTGTAAGTATTTTCCCTCTTATCTTCATTGCTCACTTCATTTTCCGCATTTAGTAGTTTTATGAGTTCCATCATGTCATACCGTAGGCCTACATGGAGTACACACGCCAGGAGACCATGGCGTGGCATCAGAGGCTTTATGAACACCAAGTGCAGAGGGATAGCCAGATGCAGCAGGCTTTTCAAGATATGGCGGCCGGTAGGTGTCCTCAGTTCCCTCCAGCACAATGCCCTCCAGCACAACCAGTGCTGATGAGCTTTGAGGAGTTTGTGGCACAAAACGCTGGCCCCTCGCCGGTTAGTTCATCCCCAATCTATTCACCCAAAGCATGTCATGCCTTTCAACACAGTCATATATCCCGTGCATATGTCTTTTCAACATCCAGGGAACATGTGGATCTACCGTTGGCGGTGGTCTTCGTAGCACTCCGGAGACACGGAGCCCGACCACTCCGATCCACAGAGGCGGAGGCGGAGATGGAGGCGGAGGCGGTCTTGGCGGTAGAGCTGCCGCTAGCAGTGACGACCTGGGCTTTGGCCGTCTTAGCGGTGACGTCCTCCGAGTGCTCGATGATCCTTGTGTGGTGATGATGCTTGAGATGACTTGTGTGTGGTGATGATCATCTAGATGACTTGTGTGCTTTTCTATATGCTTGTGTTGGTTGTGATGATGTTCATTTAGAGACTTGTGTGTGATGATGCTTATGCATATATTGTTGTGATGGTGCCGGATGATATCCCGTTGTGTTTTATATGTCTATCTCATCATATATATCTGCTGATATGTGCTGCTATTTGAATTGAATTGATCTGAAAACAAACAGAAAAAAGAAAAAAAAGCAAAAGCAAACTATGCCGACGGCTAGGCTGTCGGCATAGGGCTAGCGTGAGCTCCCAGTAGCTGACACGTGGCACCTATGCCGACGGCCTAGCCGTCGGCTTAGTTTAAAAACTGTGCCGACGGCTAGGCCGTCGGCATAGGTGCCACGTGTCAGCTACTGGGAGCTCTGTATGAAGGACTATGCCGACGGCCTGGCCGTCGTCTTAGTTTCAAACTATGCCGACGGCCCAGCCGTCGGCATAGCCCTGGTCCACGAGCAGCGGCTGGTCGCCACGTGGCACACCAATGCCGACGGTCTAGCCGTCGGCATAGTTTTTGACTAAGCCGACGGTTAGGCCGTCGGCATAGGGGTGCCACGTGGCGATCTGTCATTGGGCAGACTTGACGGCGGCCGCCGTTAGGCGTGATGGTTGCCGACGGCCGGGGCCGTCGGCATAGATGTACGGCCCCCATCGGCGTATCATATATGCCGACGGCTTTTCTAAGCCGACGGCCTCCCTGGCTGTGCCAACGCATATGTTGCCGACGGCCCTATGCCGACGGGGGCCGTCGGCATAGGTCTACCCCGACGGGACTCAGGCCTATGCCGACGGCCCTTCCGGTAGTGGTTACCGCCTTTAGCTGATGCTGCTGTAACTTACTTGCTGGCTGGGGGAATCCTCAAAATGGTGTACCAGTGTACATATGCCTGTCTGCTCTCCAGCTAGCCTTGCTCTGTTCCTTGGCACGCTACTTCCTTTCTAGAAGCATTGTTTACTTATGGATCATCATGCCAATACTGTACATGCTAAGGCTAAAGCCAGTGTACTTGTGCCATTAATTTCCATGGAAGAGGAGGCAGTCGACGGGTTCAAATAACATGCGGTTTTACCAGGGACCAGTGCTACTTAGAATCTTATTAGTTGATGTCTATTATGTCATTTACTGTCTGAATGCTTCAGTTGCTAAAGACCACTTCTTAGGAAGGACGACCACCGCATAACACATCGAACCAAACCAACCTGGCAAGAGAAGAAACTAGCATCGCAAATTCGGTATGGTGTTAAGATTGCGTCGGCAACCTTCGCTGTGCCTTTCAATGGGCCGGGACAATATCGGCCATGTCAAGTGAAGGAAAATGCAAAATCAGCTGGGAGGCCCCGCCTCCACAAATTTTTTATGGTGTTAAGATTGCCATGGTCTTGGTTGGAATGGTGTCTGGCGGAAAAAGACTTGCGTTGGCATGGGTAACACTTGTGATGGCATGGACATGGAGATCTGTTGTGCTCCGTCAAGAATTTAGGGAGATCGACTTGCAAGGCACATCTCAATTGACCATATTCTGCAGTTTTTCCTTATCTTTGCACTCGACTTCAAGACATTACCATGATTTAACGCTAATTTTATAGAACTATAAAATTGTGCAATATTTTCACTGTCTCAACTGGATTTGAATTCTAGATGACTTTCATTTGAATTGTGCCTCCTCCATCAAATCTCCAGAATAATATTCGTGATTATATTGGTAGTATTTTAGTTTGAAGAATTTAACAAAACTTCTGAAGTGGATTTTACAAAAATAAATTCAGGATTTTTAAAATATTATTTCTTTTTAAAATTTTACTGTCCCATTCAGGTGCATTAGGAACTATGTCCACCATAGCATTTTCACGTGGTAGATTATACTCAATAATTTGTGAGTTTTTGCTACGGGCCGCGAGTAGCATTGCTTATCCTTTTCCAAATTAAAAGCGTGCTAATTTCACAAGCTATAGTAACCAAGGTGTAAATTGAACATCTAAAATAAGGTGAAGTTAAGAAACGTGTTCATGGGCCAGGTAAGAGAAAGACGGAACAAGACTTTTAAAAGTTCAAAGTCTACCCCTCAAACAAAAAATTCGAAGTCTTACACGGGGACATAAAGATGAACTTGCATGTTGGGTCACGTTGTGAAGTCCACTAGTAGAAAAGGGGGCAAAGATCCAGGCCGGGTCAGCCCATTAGTCCCGGTTCAATCCAGAACCGGGACCCATGAGGGCATTGGACCCGGTTCGTGAGCCCCGGGGGCCGCCGGGCCACGTGGGCCATTGGTCCCAGTTCGTCTGGACCTTTTGGTCCCGGTTAGTGGGACGAACCGGGACCAATGGGCCTCGCTCCTGGCCCACCACCATTGGTCCCGGTTGGTGGCTTGAACCGGGACCAACTTTTGTTACAAACTTTAATAGCAAAAAAATTATCATAAAAGAAAATAAATAAGTAATTAGAATTCTATTCAAAACATTAAAACCAAAAAGAATTATCATAAGAGAAAATAAATAAGTAATTAGAATTCTGTTCAAACCATTAAAAGCAAAAAGAATTATCATAAAAGAAAATAAATAAGTAATTAGAATTTTGTTACAAACTTTAATAGCAAAAAGAATTATCATAAAAGAAAATAAATAAGTAATTAGAATTCTGTTCAAAACATTAAAAGCAAAAAGAATATCATAAAAGAAAATAAATAAGTAATTATAATTCTGTACAAAACATTAAAAGCAAAAATAATTATCATAAAAGAAAATAAATAAGTAATTAGAATTCTATTCAAAACATTAAAAGCAAAAAGAATTATCATAAAAGAAAATAAATAAGTAATTAGAATTTTGTTACAAACTTTAATAGCAAAAAGAATTATCATAAAAGAAAATAAATAAGTAATTAGAATTCTGTTCAAAACATTAAAAGCAAAAAAGAATTATCATAAAAGAAAATAAATAAGTAATTAGAATTTTGTTACAAACTTTAATAGAAAAAAGAATTATCGTAAAAGAAAATAAATAAGTAATTAGAATTATGTTCAAAACATTAAAAGCAAAAGGAATTATCATAAAAGAAAATAAATAAGTAATTAGATTTTTGTTACAAACTTTAATAGCAAAAAGAATTATCATAAAAGAAAATAAATAAGTAATTAGAATTCTGTTCAAAACATTAAAAGCAAAAAGGATTATCATAAAAGAAAATAAATAAGTAATTAGAATTTTGTTACAAACTTTAATAGCAAAAAGAATTATCGTAAAAGAAAATAAATAAGTAATTATAATTCTGTTCAAAACATTAAAAGCAAAAAGAATTATCATAAAAGAAAATAAATAAGTAATTAGAATTTTGTTACAAACTTTAATAGCAAAAAGAATTATCGTAAAAGAAAATAAATAAGTAATTATAAACAAAAAAGAAAGCAAAAAAACTGGGAAAAATAAAAAAATGGCACCTGCAGGGCCACCACGGCCTACATACGACTAGAAACCCATTACTAGGGCCAGGATGCAGGACCGCAGTAGGCCCACAAGCACAGAGAGGGAATTTAGGCCCGTAAGCCTGCAGTAGAGAGGAGCTCGAAGTGGTTGGTTCGGCAGGGCTTATAAACCACTTCGAGCCCCTCTCGGCTAGCGAGGTGGGACTAAACATAGCACCACACCGTGCCAGTTCCAGCACACGACCTTTGGTCCCGGTTGGTGGCACCAACCGGGACCAAAGACCCCCTTTAGTCCCGGTTGGTGCCACCAACCGGGACTAAAGGCCTCTGTTTCCTGCCTTTTGGGCTGCTGAAAAGAGGCCTTTGGTCCCGGTTGGTGCCACTAACCGGGACCAAAGGGTGGCATTTGTCCTGGTTTGTGCCATGAACCGGGACCAATGCTCTGCCTATATAAGCGGCACTCGTGAAATTTTGGTTCAGTTCCTTCTTCCCCGCCGCCCGACGCGTCCAGGCTGCCCATCCGTCTCCGCCTCGCCGTCGCCGTCGTCGCCCCGCGCCGCCCCGACGCCGTCGCCGCCCCGCGCCCCGTGCCCCGCCGGCCCCTGCCCGTCGCCGCCCCGCCCCGGCACGCGCCGCACCGCCGCCTCACCGTCGACCGTCGCCGCGCCGACCCGCCCAGCGCCGCACCTCGCCGTCGCTGTCGCCATCGCCGTCGCCGTCCCCGACACCGTTGCTATGAGCAACTAATTTAGATGTGTAGTAATTTTTGTGTTAGATTTTTTTGTAGTTTCGTAGATTTTTTTGTTAGATGTGTTGTAATTTAGATGTATAATTCATAGCTTTTTCTGTTAGATTTTTTTTCATATTGTGTAATTAATTTGTTCATATTTTGTTAGATTTTTTTTTCTGTTAATAGATTTTTTATGCAAAGATGTTTGTATGTTCATATATATGCATGTTTGTATGTTCATATATATGCAAAGATCGAATATGTCAATTTTTTATGATTTTTCTCTGTTCATAGAATTTTTATGATTTTTTTCTGTTGTACTTTTTTTCATAGAATTTTAATGATTTTTTTGTTCATAGTATTTTCTTTGTCAATTTATTATGTATGTGTAGGAAAATTGTGAATGATAGAAGTCATTTATGAATATGTTCCTATTTAGAATAGAGGAAAAAGAAAAAATAAGAAGAGAAAGTGTTTAATATAATTAGTTAGAGAAATAATAGAACTATAGTTAAACTAGTTTATTTTTAGTAAGTACTACTTTATGATAATTCATAGTAAGTGCTTCATATATAGTTGAACTATATATAGAAGTAGTTTGTTTTTAGTAAGTACTAGTTTATTTATTTATAGTAAGTGCTTAGTAGTTGAACTAGTTGATTTAATTAATAAAACTACTTTATTTAACTATGTATAGAAGTAGTTCCCGCATCGACGTCACCGTGTACGTCACTGCGGTCGCGTGGGCCAGTGACGGTGCCGAGACTTCCGGACACTGCGGAGGTGGTACGCCACCGTGTACGCAAGGAGGACGAGAACGTCCGTCGCTATATGGTTGCATTGGACGAGCTGTATTAGTGATGCTATATGTATGATAGTATTCGAGGAGTATTAGTGATAATATTCGACGATGTACGGACACAAGAGATGATGTACTTTTACTTATAATTGAATGCATGCATGCTAATTTGAATACTTTATTTTATGATTTGGTCACAGCTGAGAGAGGACCCCCTGCCATCCCTTTCTCGGTTGTCAAACTTGACTTATCTACAATTCACCAGAGCATACAGTGGAGAGCAGCTGGCATTTCTCACGGGGTGGTTTCCCAAGCTAAAGATTCTCTCCCTAAGAGACCTGCCTAATCTGAATCGGCTAGAGATACAGTATTGCACCATGGCGAGCCTGGAAAATTTATTCTTAACCAACCTCAGCAGCATGACGGAGGTGCCAGCTGGCATTGAGTTCCTCACTTCCATCAAGTATCTAGGCTTTCACCAGATCAGCAGGGACTTCTTGCCATCCCTGCGCCAGTGTTCTGCAATTCAAGGCATAATGTCACGGGTGGGGTGTTCCCTCCGAGATTGACCTGCTACTCTGGTCAGGAAACGTGTAAGCTATCGCCAATTAACAAGTGTACCTTTACTTGCGTGCTTCCCCCTCTGTAGTTAATCGTACTAGTTTGACATGTTGACATGATATGGGATTGTCATGTAGCATTGACTGGAAATTCTTGATGCAGGATGTTTACCATACGACGCTACCTCTGCAAGTGCTGAAACTGCCTGTTTCCGGATGCATAGGCTTTTGATCTGCCAACTAGTGCTGCTTTTGTCAATTTGTTGGTCTAGCTCTAGCAGTCTAGCTCTACAATTTGTTGTTTTTGTTATCGGCAGGAAGCATTCTGCAAGCGTACATCTTGATTGTGTCATTTAGCACCCTGGTGAGGGGCCGCAGATTCTTAACTTGCTTGAGCCGAAGTCAGGGGGCTGACTTGCCACTCCTATTTACCATCCAATTCTAGATCCAAAGGCTGGAAATGTTACATGCAATTTTACTCGACCACTGCATGCAAGTGTGTACTGTCCAGGAACTAGCTGAAGAATCCTATGCAAAAGATAGCGAGATTTCAAATTCATAAACAGGCGGTCTAACTCCTGAAAATATATTCACAAAACAAAAGCACACTAATGTAACGCCAAAAATCATGTCTGCTTCAACACCCAAGACAAAAAATCAGAAGACATTGGAATTAACAGCTTTAGTAATCTGTAATCAGTCCAGGTTGCAGGCACACAAACAGAGGACAAACAGCAGATCCCTAATCTGTAAAATCCGAAACTGAGTACAAAATGCCATACTCCAATCAAATCACACATCCGGTTTTAGAAATAAGTCCCTGTCAATGATTAGATAATTTTCCTACAGAGATTTCAGAACATTTTCAGGCAAATAGGAGCCGTGTACAAATCATTGTTTTAAATAGCGCGCTAAGCATCTTAGCGGCGGACCTTTTCCAAATGCTATAGCGTGCTATAGCGGAGCTATAGCGCGCTATTTAAAATGTTTGTTCATTTGTTTAGACCAAAGTCTCTTAGCGCAAGACATTTCGTAAACGCTATAGCGGGCTATTTAAAACAGTGGTACAAATGCACAGCCATCATAGACACAGATCAGAGAACATGCTGGGGCCAACCCACATAGGCTGCATCCACGGCTCATGAAAACAAAGTTGTTTAGATTGGAAGCGGGCTTGCCCAGCTCAAATGCGGCCCAACATTCAGAATCATGGGAATAGCGGTACACACAGTTACTCCTACCTCCCCACCTCTCCGGGTTCATGAAAGATAACGAGTGGCTTCTCTTATCGTTGTTGATGAAGATCGCCCAATTCATCAACTCCTTCATCTTCACCCACTTTGGACGATTACTTGACTGGTCAAGGCAAAATGCTTCAAAGGTATCCCCCACTTGCCAGAAACAACCCCCACCCGACCAAGACAAGCATATCACCACACGCTACCAGATATATGTTAGCAAGATGGTGAATGCCGATTTCTTCAGGAACCTGCATCCTCAGTATGTGAATCCGAGGTGTCCAGTGCAAAGAGCACGCCACAAGAGCCCATGCCAAAGACTTGGCCTTTGAAGGTTACGATTTGCTTAACCGTTCCATTGCAACGAGAAGCTGTCAACCTTATAGGCCTAGGTGCAGGGGCGAAATCAGGCCTGGGGCAACTGGGGCTGTAGCCCCAGGCGTGGCCCAACTAGTACGTATAACATAACAGCGAATTTTTCAGAAATTGTCATACACAGAAGCTCAGCCCCAGTCTTCACATAGACGTACAAGCCTTCAGCCCGTTAGCCCAACTCCATCAATCGGTCAGAACAAGAACCGATCACGCTTGACGCTTCGATCTGTGATCCATAGCCCGATCGTTAGTCAATCAAGTCAAGGAAGAAAGCCGCTCAAAAAAGTCAAGAAAGAAAAAAATTCCACGCCTGATCGGCAACAGAGAAATCCTCGCCTCGCCTCGCTCGAAGGAGCGCCCATGCCTTGCGCCGCCGCCGCCGTCGTCAACACGGGATTCCCCGCCGCGCCGGCCGCCGGGTCCGGCGTCCTGACCACCCGCCTCTTATTCTTCTCCATTTTGATCTAGTTCTAAATTGCAGCGCAAGCACAGAGGCACCCACCCACCGCACACTGCCCAGGTAATTTGTAGCCTATCTTCTAATTTTGTTTTCCCTATTTCCTTTATATTAGCCAAACTTACATTGGTGTGCTATATTGAACGCGATGTATTTGCAAGCGTTGATGATATTAAGATTATACACTGCTACCAAAAAATAAGGAAACGCAAGGGGCTACTACCTCATGGTCTTCGTTTTAATGGTATAATATGTTCTCTCTTTTTATTTTTTGCAAATTTCATACGAACAATTGACTTAGTCTATGTCAAGTGTCTTGATTTTAGATATGCGATTTTATGTTTGCAGATCCAAGTCCTTCTGGTATTGCTGGTGAAGAAATGATGACCTCGGATTAAGCAAGTCCTCCCTAATTAGGTACCAAACCATGTTCGCAACAATGCAATTTGCTAAACTATTTGTTTTAAGGAATTTCCTCTCATGATAATAATAAATTTGTATTTCATTTTACATGTGAATTTGTGGCATACTTCTAACGCACATTGGTGTGTGTGGGAGTATTTGACTTATATTTAGCCAGTTAGTTTTTTTTTGAGATAGTCAGTTAAGTTTAGCCCTAGGCTTTGAGAAATCCTGGTTCCGCCTCTGCCTAGGTGTTCAGTTATAGCCTTATAGGGCTATTTTCCCTGAAAAAAGATAGAAAATAAAGATGTTTGACTACTTCACCTTGGTAGTTACTAGCACATATGCCCGTGTGTTGTAATGGGAGAAATATTTATTACGAGAAGCAACGGAAGAGAAATGATGTGTCTGAAAAACGTCTCTGCAGTGGTGGCCGACAGAGGTAGCAGTTGCGATCTTCTCGCGGGTCATATGTGGCGTACGAGATCTTGATATTGGTGGGGTTGGTCGGCGTCTCCTATCATGGCGTAATTGGATGTATTACTAATTGAAACACATAAATCAAAGACCCAACGACATGCTGCTAGCTAGTCGAAGAAACGCATCCTAATTACCAATGACCAGCGTGAATATTTTAGAACATAATGTTGCGTCAGTTTTGATTTTTTTTTTTGAAATTTTTCGAACTTATCATAGAAAATTAGAATGAATTTGCGTATATTCTTCGAAACATGAACAATTTTTGAAATTCCAAACAGCTTTTTGAAAATTTTGAATATTTCCAAAAAACATTAACAAAATTTTAAATTGGAATATTTTTGAAATTCACAAACATTTTATGAGAACATTAAACTTTTGTAATAACCTGTACATTTTTTTATTAAAATATTTTGAATAATCAAAACAATTTTGAAAATATTTTTTCCAATTCATAAAATTATTTTAGTTTCATAAACATTTCACTAAAACAACAAAATTTTCAAATTTGAAACATTTGTTCAAATGCAAAAAGAAATATTGGAAATCATGAATAATTATGGAAAATAAAAACATTTCTTGAAAAATTGGAAACATTTGTTTTATTTTGAACAAATTTGAGAAAAAAAATAAAGTTCTGAACATTTTTCAAAAAGTAAACTTGTTTAGAATTTGAAGCATTTATCGTAAGCTCAAACAAAAAAATAATTTCTGAGGTTTTTGAAAATTTCGAATTTACTACAAAGGAAAAAACGAAATTAAACTTGGAAGAGAAAAAGTAAAAAAGAAATAGGAAAGAAAAAGAGAAATAAACAGAAAAAAAACACAAGATAAAACGGAAATGGGCCGGCCTAGTAATGGGCGACCTGCGCGTACTTTGGGTATCTCACGGGCCATGTGGAAAATAGGGTTTGCCAGCTGTGTGGGCTGGAAAATAAGCAGTCTGGCTTCGCTGGGCCTCGGCGCGCGGCCCACGTACGAAATCCTGGATAAACCGTTTTTCTTCTGTAGCAGATGAACGCACAACAATTTAGTACCAGATGCTCAAAAAAAAAAACAATTTAGTACCAGCTCGGGTAAAAACTATCTTTTTGTCGCTGAACGGATGAAAAATCGAAGAAACGTGCCTTGCTTTATTAATAGGTATAGATATAGATATATATAGAGATATAAAAATTAGAAAAAACCAACTATATAAAGATATACAAAGTGTAGAGAAAATAAATTCACCAAAATTATAAGTGTCACACGTCATGCCCGGTGAGTGGGACTCCGGGCCTGACGTTTTTTGATGGTAATTCCAATCACATTTGGATGACAATTTATCAAAAAGGCTTACGCCCCGCTTTATACATAAAGCAAACCACCAGCCACAAGGTCCAATAAAGATTCACACCGTGCGTGCGTGCACACACACAAGCAGCACAACCAAGTACCAAAGAGTTTCACTGAGGGCATGCACAACTCAACAAACCCTAAATAAAAGCAAAAAAAAGAGGCACATGCCACCAAGTGGCTAATCCGGCTCGGGTGGTGGAGGAGGGAGCGGTGGCGCCAAGTGGCGAGCCAACGCTCGAAAATCGGCGATGAGGATGTTGATGTTGTCTCGGTCCTGAGGGCGGCTAAGTGGCCGCCAAAGCTGCAAATATCTACACATTTTAAAAATCGCGTCAGTAGCACGTCGAAGAGGCACCCGCTGGATCACAAGTTTATTGTGGGCCGTCCAAATCATCCATGCAAGAACCCTAATACACATCCACCTAATGTGGTAGAGCCTAAGCAGGGAGCTAGGACTTCCGCGAAAAGGTCGGGGAAGTTATTGTTGCACCAACATCCGCCGGCCACCTCCTGAAAACAACTTCATAGGAATTGCACGGACACGCAGGAGAAGAAGATGTGATTCGAGTCCTCCGCCGTCGTGCACAGAGGACTAACATTCAGTACCTATCAGGGTTGTAATTCTAAATTTAATTGGGACTTGGGTTATTATTTTAGAGGCTTCTCCTTTTAGGAGACGTTTTCATTGATTATGAGGCGTTTGTGGTGCGATTGTACTGTGT